CGGGGAGAAGTTAAGCTTGAGGTTGGAAAGTAGAAGGAAGCTAGAGTTGGACAGAAAATAGCGTCTTCTAGAGTGTCAACAAGCTTAAGCTTCTTTCATTTCTTTGCTCCAGTTGAAGTACTTAGCAGAGTATGTAAATTCTATGCATTCTTGATTAAAATGAAAGGTTGAAGCATATGACAGGTTGCTTGAAGTACAAATTTCTAACACTCTTCGTTGGTGAAAAAGGGAAAAAGGGCATGTTCTTGCTTGGGACAAGTAAGATTTTAAGTTTGGGGTGTGATAACTCTCCAAAAGAGAGTTATTCTAGTGTTTATTTGGATGATTTCATGCAAAGAATTGTTAAAGTGTGTCGGTTTTTGGTTCTTAATTAGCCTAGTTGAGATTAGAAAGTGAAATCCAAGCTGAAAACCCCAAGTCTTAAATGCTTTAGCTAAATAGTGTACTAATTGCTGGTATTTCTAGTATAAATGCACAGGTTTGGAAGCAAAAGACTAAGCATAAAGGAAGTGCAAAAATCTAGAGAAGAGTGGGCAAGATAATTTCGAGGCAGAGCAGATAAATGCTGGAGCGAAGCAAAGTTGGAGCATGGATTCACTGCGCAGTAACAGCCTAGACACGAGATTATCGTGTCCGTACAATTGTCAGCTGGGTGCCCTAAATTTGGAACCCGATATAAAAGGGAAATGTTGCCCCAGCCGCCATACACAGATCCCTAGAGAAGCACGTTTTTTAGAGTTGAAAAGACAAGAAGAACGATTCTCTCCATTTTGGGGGGAGAAAGTTGACAAAAGAAGGAGATATTCCTCTATAATCTCGAGCTGACAACTTCTTCTTCTTCGTTTTTCGGCTATCTTCCTAAGATGGGTTGTCTTCTTCTTCTACCCATTTTATTTTCTTCTTCATTTATGAGCTAAACCCTATTTCGGGGGAGATTCCCATGCTGTAACTGCTGTAAACTGAACTTCTAACTACTATATTCGTTTTTAAATGAAGCTGTATTGATTTCTGATATCTTATTGAGCATTGTTGGCCACTTTGTTATGTTTGCTAGCTTCTATATTGACTCGGGAGGGCTTATGGTTGCTGACTTGATTCATTTGGGATTAGTACTTTTCTATATTATTTTGTGGATTCTTAAGAATGAGGTCCCCTAATCTAGCCTAGAGCTTGTTTTTATTGCTTGGAACTTAGCAACAAAAGTTTTCATGTTCGGCTGTCTCGGAAGGGAACCAAGTCGGACATTAACGGATGTTTGTTAGTTAGAGGGTAGGTTGATAGGTTTGTAAATGCATGTGAGTCTCCCCCACTTTTCCATATCTGTATTCTCCCCGTTTCCATATTTTGTGCTGGTTCTTCTGCTTGTTATCAGCTTTACAAATTTTGTTTGCTACTGTGATCTGTTTACTGCTTGTTTATTTAATGTTTATTTGTTCAAGTTACGAAACAACATCTATACTTCTTTATTTTACGCTTTTGGTATCCGTGAACACTGTTGAAATATCATTCAAAGTCCATGTGGATTCGACCTCGTTACGTACTACAACCGACATTTCGTGTATACTTGCACGTGTCGTCAACACGTTTATGTGGACGCAACAAGCAACCACCAGGTTGTGTTGCTCATGGGGAGAATGGAAAGGTATGTCGCCTTTGTAAATCCTTATATGGGTTGAAACAAAGTCCGCGAACATGATTTGGAAAATTCAGTCAGGTGATTAAGAATTTTGGAATGAAGAAGAGTAAGTTAGATCATTTTGTTTTTTATAAATGATCTGAGTCTGGTGTTATCTTACTAGTTGTATATGTTGATGATATTGTGATTACTAGTAATGATACATCAAGCATTCTATCACTCAAGTATTTTCTTCATAGTCAATTTCATACTAAAGATTTGAGAATGTTGAAATACTTCTTAGGAGTTGAGGTAATAAGAAGCACGAAGGAGATCATTTTGTCACAAAGAAAGTATGTACTTGACTTGTTAACTAAAACAGGAAAAATAGCTGCTAAGCCACGTAGTACTCCAATGATGCCTAATTTACAACTTAAAAAGGAAGGGGAGTTGTTGAAAGATCCTGAGAAGTATAGGAGGTTAGTAGGGAAGCTGAATTACCTTAGAGTTACTAGGTCTGACATAGCTTATCCAGTCAGTTTATGAGTTCTCCTACGACTGACCATTGGGCAACATTGGAACATATTCTATGTTATTTGAAAGGTGCTCTTGGACGTGGTTTGTTATATAAAGATCATGTCCATCTTAATATTGAATGTTTTTTAGATGTTGATTGGGCAGGTTCTACGGAAGATAGGAGATCAACCTCAGGATATTGTGTATTTGTTGGAGTAATTTAGTTTCTTGGAAAAGTAAGAAATAAAATGTGGTATCATGTTCAAGTGTTGAATCATAATATCGAGTGATGACACAATCGGTGTGTGAATTAGTATGGATATATCAGCTTCTGACTGAATTGGGTTTTGGCATCACCACTCCAATGAAAATTTTGTGTGATAATCAAGTAGCTCTCCATATTGCATCTAATCCAGTATTTCATGAACGAACCAAACACATTGAAGTTGACGTGAGAAAATACAGCAAGGATTGGTGGTTACAGGATATGTGAAGACTGGAGAGCAGTTAAGAGACATCTTCACTAAAGCATTGACTGGTGCACAGATAGATTATCTCTCTAACAAGTTGGGCATGATTAACATATATGCCAACTTGAGGGGAGTGTTAGAGTATATATATTAGTATATTTTATATTCTTGTAATAATATGTATTAATGTGTCGTTTACCTTCCTCTTCTTGGATTATGTCAACCTTTTATATTTGTGTATATATATACTTCAGTAATGAGAATAATCTTCGTCTGGTTCTCTCAAACTTTAGTTTCTAGAGAGAGAGAAAGAGAGAATTTTTTTCCTTTGTTTTCAAAAGAACAATGCCTAGTGCATTCTACCTTTTAGTTATTTGAAATACAATTGTGATGCAAATGACACATCAACAAATTTGTGTAGGAATTTCTCCCTTTGCTCGGGTCCATTATCCCTTTAGCCCATTTATTAGTTTTATGTTTTAGGGCATGAAAGGGGGGAAAAATTAAAAGGGTTTTTCATGAGCCTTTTGAGAGAAAGGGAGGGTGTTCCTCTATGTGTGTGGGAGAGTGTATTTTTCACGCCATTTCTTAATAGAAGCTTGAGATATTGATTGAAGAATAGATGTACACCAACTTGGTGGAACCATATAAATCATTGCGTTCTTTCTTCGTCTCCTCTTTTTCACTTGTTTTCATTTTTACAACAATCAAAAGCAACAAGCTGAGAAATTTCAGACAGCTCCTCTTCGACCCCGGAACGACCTGACCGCTGTACGAGGCTAAGATTGCAAGCTGATTAGATTTTTTTTTCCTTGTTTTCAAAAGAATGACAATGCCTTAGTATGCTTGCCATGCACACTCATATTTTGTGCTAATGCCGATACAAGTTTGAAAACCTTTTATTTATTTAAAAATGATAAAACTTAGGTGGTGAAGAATAAGTAGGTACTACTTGCACCGCAAAAAAAAAACACAGTTATTTATTTTAGTTTCTCTATCTTCTTTTAGGTATTTATCTTTCTGGGTCGTCAATCTTTTATTAGTCGTTAATCTTTTAATGGAGCTAAGTAAGCATTTAGTTGTGTTCTTTTAAAAAAAATGAAATAACTACCAACTTTTCAATCATGAGAAGGAAAAAGATACTTAACGGACCCCTCACTCTGATACCATGTTAAGGAACCACCACTCTAATCTAAAAGCTACAGCTGATAGATTTGATAAATTTAATTCATACATTGAATATCTAATACAGTACAAGAAAGTGAGAAATACACCGTCTTCGTAGTAATAATAATAATGATTTTATTACTTGAATCAACTCAAATGTTGGAGAAGAACAAATCTTACATGAATAATGTTGGTAATTTAAAAGTCACAGTGAAATAAAAGGATGATGAAGCAACAACCATGCGGGTGATCTTGCATAAGGGCTTCTCACCAAACATCTTCCCAAGAAATCTTTTGCCATCGCAGATAATCGACTTGGAATCTCCGGCAATTCCTCACTGTAACCGATCAGAGCAAGAAGATCGGAATCGGAATCCGTACAACTCCACACTCCTTTTCCGGTCAGCATCTCCAACACCACGCATCCAACGGCCCATATGTCGATAGGCCAATCGAAGTCATTCTCCCTCGCCATCTCCGGCGCCATGTAAGATAACGATCCTTTCATTCCGTTGCCGCCGGTGCTCACTTCGTCGACCATCTTCTCCGCCAATCCGAAATCGGCTATCTTCGCCACCAAACAACCTCCGTCGTCCGCGCTCGGCTGCAGAAGTATGTTCTCCGGCTTGATATCGCAGTGAATGATTCCACGGCGGTGGATATAAGCAATTCCGAACACTATGTCTCTCGTGTACCGGCGAACCTCCGACTCCGGCAAGCCGTCAGGTCCGAATTTGGAGATTCGATCAAACAAGCAGCCGCCGGAGCAGTACCCCAGAAGTAAATTGTAGACTGGTTTGCCGGATCTGGTTTTGGTGATTTCGTCTCCATAACATCGAACTACGTTAGGGCAAGAGCTGAGTTCATCGAAGACCTTCCTTTCGAACCAAAGCGAAGACGAATGTTCGATGAAGGAAGATTTGACGGCGATTTGAGAAGGAAGATATTGATACGACGAATCTGAATCGGAATCCAAATTGATGACGGCTCTGTTAACTGTGGCCAAGAAAACGGAGCCGAAGCTGCCTTCGCCGAGAAGAGGGCCGCGACGCCACGACCATCCGTGTGAGCTCTCCAAACCGTCGGATTGAAGGAGAGGAATTTGTGTACAGGCCTTCATGATTTGATCGCACTCGATGTTTTTCTTCATTTGTCCTCCATTGTTGTTGTTGTTCGGCTTGGTTCTCTTGGCGAATTTCAGAACGCGTCTCCTCGGCCTTAGACATTGGCGCCAATCGGGAGAAGACAAATGGGAAGGAAGCTTAGTCATGGCTGAATCCTGATGATACAAAATGGCGATCGAAGAAACGAAAACAGAGTTATTCAAATATTTATAAAACTCGGAAGAAGATGATGCTTTTCCAATTTCAAATCTTAGGTATCTTCTTGCTTTTCGTTTCGCGGGAGGTAATTTTTACCCATATTCAAAATTTTCTTACATAAACTCTATTCATAATAAAATTTTATCACTAAACCATAAATAAATATTCAAAAAATACAATAATCTTTATTATTTTAAAAGTAAATATTATTTTCGTAGCTTTAGTTTATTTTGGTCATATATTTTTAATTTTTGTTTATTTTAGATTCTATACTTTCAAAACGTTCATTATTATCCTTTTGTTTTTTTTCCTTTTATTATAATTTTTATCTCATTTCTTCCCATCATAATTTTAACATGACATGTCATCCACTAGATTTCTTGAGATGCAACTACAAATTTGTATTAAAACATTTTTATTGTGTATAATATTTGTGTTGAAATATTGCAAATACGGACCTAATTTGTCATTTTGTAAAAGTATAGACCAAAAATGAATGTTTTAACTATAATGAACAAAATTTGAAAGTATATGGACAAAAATAAATATTTGAAATTACATAGAAAATATTTAAACCTAAAAAAGAACTTTAAACTATGCGTGAGGACTACTATTAAGATTTATTAGAAGTATACCAACTAAATTTGGCCCAGGGACGGCTAGAGATGATATGAGAACTCGGCAATACTTTAATAGGGAGGCCTTAATATAAATATATTCTTTCATTACATGCTTCATTTTCAACCATATATTGATATCTACTATTTTTGTTTCATATTTTGATTTGTCTATACCTATCCTTTATTCTATTATTTCATCATTTTTATTACTTTTACTTTCAATAATAAATTTATCGTTTCTGAGATTCAATCTATTTTTCTATTCTTTTCATATCTAGATTCATATTTTATGTAGACCTATTGATTTTCTAAGTAAATAAATCTAAACAAATCTCATATATCAAGGTATTAAACCATTAACAATATGAAATAAAATTTTAAAAATTAAAAGAATTTGAAAGAAAATACCTAAAATTTTGAAGCCGCACGATTGATTTGAACAAATAAGAAGCTTTTTCTACTCCAATTGATAACCACACCTAAATGAGTTGTGAGACCACAGAAGATCAAAAATTAAAAATTGAAACCTGTGAGAGAAAGTTAACTTAATATAAATCTAACCTACACTGCACAATATATTCATGGAGTTTTTTTTTCAGAGAAGCTGAAAGGTTTTCAAATTTCGAATTTAGATTTTTTTTTTTGAGTACTCAAATTTCGAATTTAGTTTCTTT